AATCGTCCATGACGCAGTTAAAGCTCGTAGAATATAACGCACAACGAGCACATGATCACCTTATCCGTTGTCCGGCCCGCGTAGGTCCGTTAGATACGGCACCCATCCTTTTAGTACCCTCACATAGGTTAACATACGTCATAATAATTCATTATCACAATTTGTACCATCATTCTGGTGTTTACCATACCGTAGAAAACCTACGTAAACGGTTCTTTATCCCAGTGATCCGTAAACATGTTCAAAAAGCTCTGCGTAGCTGCGTTGCCTGTAAAAAAATCAATGGGCAAGCTTATCGGTATCCAAATATGCCGCAGTTACCGCCGGAACGCGTAAAAAGGTCTCGACCCTTTCAAAACATCGGCGTAGATTATCTCGGTCCACTTACCGTAAGCGGTTTCCTATAACTAATTCCAACAAGGTATGGATCAGCTTATTTACTTGCATGGCTACGCGCGCAGTACATCTTGAAGTTGTACTAGACAACTCTACGCAAGAGTTTTTGCTCGCGTTTCGTAGGTTTATTGCTCGAAGGGGTACACCAGACGTCGTGTACAGCGACAACTCGACCACGTTTCACGCTGCAGAAAGCCAAATCGCAGTTAGATCACTGGAATCAGCTTATGGCTGAACTTAAACATCCGTTACCACCTGTACCGCGTTCAGTTATGCCGTCAAATTCAAAATCTGGTAGCTTAGAGCTATGTGTTTTTGGAGACGCATCCCAGCGTCTATACGCGTGTTGCGCTTATTTGGTTTGTCGTTTGCCTACCAAGACATATTCCAACTTGATTATGGCAAAATCACATTTAAATAATCCCAAACCAATCACAATTCCCACGCGCTGAGCTTCTCGCAGCTCTAATCAGTGTACGTATGGCGCAGTTTCTGACAAAACATCTAAACTTGCCTTTCGTAGCCATTCATGTATTCTCAGACTCGCTAATCGCATTGCATTGGATACACGCGTTAAACCTTACAAGGTTTTTGTTCAAAATCGCGTAGAGCCATTCGTCGTATCGTAGCAGAATTTGAGGCTCAGGGCATTCCAGTCAAGTTCCACTACGTAGCTTCCGAGGACAATCCTGCCGACTGTGCTACTCGCGGTCTGGCAACGAAGGAAGCTGAAAATCACATTTGGTGGACTGGACCTCATTTCTGCGTAGTCCATCTACTCAATGGCCCAATGCGCATGTTAATTTTCCAAATTCCACCGTCAGGTGGTGAAGATGTGCAGTCAGAATACCAAAATGTGCATATAGTCCAGCAAGGTGAGTTTGTGTCGGTGTTACCCTTTTCGGTAACAAATAACTATTTAAAACTCGTTCGTATTACAACCTATGTGCTTAAGTTCCTACGTAGGCAAATTTACGACCGCGTATCTCAACGTACGCGCGATAAAATCCATCAAAAATTGCCGTCCGTAGGCTTAGTTACATCATCAGGTACTATACAAGTGTCGGACGTGATACCGCAGAAGTTCAACTCATACTCGCGCATTATCGCGAGAGTGAATCGTCCATGACGCAGTTAAAGCTCGTAGAATATAACGCACAACGAGCACAAGATCACCTTATCCGTTGTCCGGTCCGCGTAGGTCCGTTAGATACGGCACCCATTCCTTTTAGTACCTACACATAGGTTAACATACGTCATAATAATTCATTATCACAATTTGTACCATCATTCCGGTGTTTACCATACCGTAGCCAACCTACGTAAACGGTTCTTTATTCCCAGTTATCGTAAACATGTTCAAAAAGCTCTGCGTAGCTGCGTTGCCTGTAAAAAGATCAATGGGCAAGCTTATCGGTATCCAAATATGCCGCAGTTACCGCCAGAACGCGTAAAAAGGTCTCGACCCTTTCAAAACATCGGCGTAGATTATCTCGGTCCACTACCGTAAGCGGTTCCCACGCCAATTCCAACAAAGTGTGGATCAGCTTATTTACTTGCATGGCTACGCGCGCAGTACATCTCGAAGTTGTACTAGACAACTTCTACGCAGGAGTTTTTGCTCGCGTTTCGTAGGTTTATTGCTCGTAGAGGTACACCAGACGTCGTGTACAGCGATAATTCGACCACGTTTCACGCCGCAGAAAGCGCCATCACATCCGTGCTTTACTCACCCAAGTCTTGGGAAACAGTCGCAACTACTGCGTAAAGCATAAGATCAATGGAAGTTCATAACCCCTCTTTCCCCCTGGAAAGGAGGGTTTTATGAACGTATGGTCGCTCTGTTCAAAACTGCGTACAAAAAATCCATCGGTCGCGCTGTACTTCAACTCAATCAACTTCAAACCATAGTCGCCGAAATCGAAGCGACGTTAAATTCCCGTCCCATTACTCCCTTTCGGGAGAAGGGACGTGTTCGCTTACGTATTGCGACCTATTGACTTTATTTCTCCAGCTATAAACATTCAGCTACCTCCTCTGCCTCGCAGGTAGACCCGGTTTATGACGCTTCCCACAATCTTAGCGGAGTGGTACAAGGAAATGCTCGTACTTCTCGATCAGTTTTGGGAAGTCTGGCACTCTGACTATCTCTCCGCATTGCGGGAACGTCAGCAGCTTCGCGTACGTCAAGGCAAATATACTAATTTAACTCCGCAAGTCGGAGACGTTGTCATCGTAGCTGATGAAAAACTTGCGCGAGGACAGTGGCCGTATGGTCTAATTCAAAAGGTACATCAGGGCAAGGATGGTTGCGTACGATCTGCTGATGTTCTTACGCCTAGCGGCAATACCAAAACAAGATCAATTACGCAGCTATATCCGCTAGAAATTCGCGCAGCGTCAGCTCAAACAAGTGCAGAAACCGCTCCTCAAATATTGCCTCCTCAGCGCAAACAACCATCGAGAGCGGCTAAATCAGCGCATAAGTTCATTCGCAGTACGTAAAATCATGTATTTGTGGCGTAGTTACACAAATTGCACGCCCTTGGCGTATATGTCAACGCCAAAGCTGACTCAGTGCCGACACGCAACGCGTACGCACGCGTGTGAACGCATGCCGCGAATCAACACTACTCAAACACGTCGGTACATTTTCGAATATCTTCAGCGTTGGGTGGATCCCCCTCTTGCCGCGTTTCTTCCGTTTTCACTGCGTATTGGACGCTCTACTACTCTACAACTATTTCGCTGCGTATTCTGGATGCGACTATTCATGATATCCTTCGTATTCGACGCGAAGTGCAGCCTGGTCAGGTACACTTTATTTAGTATTACTTTCGTAGTTATGTGTGCAGTTTAACGTTGTTCCTTCTTTGCGCATTTATGCCCGCAGCGTTTTCTTGTTTTGTCTACGTTGTATTTTTTTAATGTGGTAGTTTCCATAGCTCCAGTTTGTTTGCCCGCAGCCTATAAATCCGCGTAGTGGTGAGCATTTTCTCTTTGCGTAGTTTTTCTTTCTTTCCTTTATATTGTTCATGTATTCGTAGTCATACATTTGATCGTCCCGCGCGCTCACCACATTACCTACGCACACATTCTCCTTTTTTGTTCTGTAGTTAAGTCCTTATTGACATGACCAATGCAGCACGTCGTTTATCATTAACTTTATTCGGTTTGATCGTCGTCGGCTAGATAACCTCCCCTTTTATGTATTTTTCACTGGGGCAATGTTTTTACTGATGCTCATTGCGCCAGTGTCAGACACAATATTTCCTTTCTCTTCTATTATTACATACCATTTAGCTCCGCCCGCTACCGCGCGCATTGATAGAACTGACAATCGATGAAGCTTTAGGTTTCACCGCTAAATTATAGCTGCTTCGTTAAATGTATTACCGTCCGTTGCATAGGCTGCCCATCTTGGCTGTATCTCACTGTTTGATAAGCGCAGTGAAGTGCACAGCTAAAGTGATGATGTAAACAACCACTATGCGTCGAGTATCGAGGTAATTTAGCGGTCGAATATCTCAAAACGGAATGCCTAGTATTCATTATCATATTTATTCGAGCATCCCATTCATCCTCAAGAACTCTAGAAGGTGTAGCGGTCGGAAGGAGTTTACAATTACAACGCTGATGAAATGATATTGAAATGAAAGGCATTATCTACAATCTGCTCTCTATTTTCTATTTCAAGTGCTCTCTACGTTCGTACGCATATCGTTCTATCAGTCCTCATCAGTCGTTATCACTTTTGACCCCCACCAAATATGTTCCCGTCCCACCCCCTATATCATGCCCAAAATCAGCTCCTGACGACTGCTGCGAAGCGCACTATGAATTTCGTGAAATTTGTGTTTCAGCGCCTCTTATCTGCTCTTATCAGTCGTTATCACTTGTTGACCCCCACCAAATATGTTCCCGTCCCACCCCCTATATCATGCCCCAAAATCAGCTCCTGACGACTGCTGCGAAGCGCACTATGAATTTCGTTAAATTTGTTCCCCCACCAAATCTGCTTCTCGTCCCACCCCCTATATCATATCAAAAAATCAGCTCTTAACGACTGCTGCGACGCGTGCTATGAATTTCGTGACACACACACAGACAGACAGACAGACTTAGCGCTTTATATATAGTAGGGATATATATAACATGGCATACTAAAAACATCTGCACATAGTATACACTTATTACATAGTTTCTTTCATCAGTATTGCCCCCCTTTTTTTCGGCGTAGTCCGCCTTTAGTTTAATTCTCTGTATTAGTCGTAATAACTTCGTATAGCATACATCCGCTACGCGTCTTCTTACGTTAATATGTGGTAGCATCAGTTTGCTAAGTTGTACTTCATCCCCCTTCGTTTCAGGTAATTGGTGAATCGTGAGGCCCACCCGTCTCAAGTGTTCAAGCAATCATCATGGCAACTAATTCTAAAACAAGTAAAACATCGCAGCGAGCGAATACCTCTGCGCAGGCAGCAACATCTCATCTAGCCGCGCAACCCGCTGCAAATACGCGTACAGCGCTCATGCAAATTCTGGATCAGATGTGCAGTGCTTTAGAGCTAGAGCAGCAAGACCAGCGTAGGAGTGCTCCGGTGGCCGCAACATCAACGCAGACCGCCGACTTCCGTCCAGGCTCGCGCCATCGCAGTTCATCTCTTACTCGCACGCTTCCACCGCAGATCCCTCAGCAGCGTTCGTATCGCGTAGCTTCCGAAGAGGAAGACGATGAGCCAGCAGCTCAGCGTAGCTATTACAGGCGTCGGGACAACCCCTTTCGCCGCGCGCGTGCGCAGCAGCGCCAAGATCATCCGCCGCGTAGGCAGCGCTCGCCAGAACAACGCCATGAACAACATCAATCGTACATGGAGCGCCGCTCATCGCGCAGTGCCAGTCCACAGTCGCAGCGTCATCGCGAGCATTCACGCGGCGTGAGTCCAGCACATAACGTTCATCGCGTGCGTAGGCACGGGCATTGCTATGAAGTTCACTGCTGCGCTTACGTTCAGTTAGGCCGCGAAAGCTACCATCATTCGCGACACTAGCGTTACGTTCGCTTATACATACTATCATTATCACGCAAAGAAACCGCGCCAGCGACGCCAACACACCGCAGTCCTTCCTGTAGGAAGGCACGATGGACGTAGCGCCAATCGTTTCACTCTCCTTCGCGCCGTACGAGTTCCCCCTCGGCTTTCCGCCCCAAGCCGGTTCGCTTAGGCGACCAGTTCGCTCGGAAGCGGACGATTCGCTCGGGGAGCTGAGAGACGAGTTCAGAACTCGGCCATCTGATCCTGCTGTCTCAATTCCGCTGCCTCCTTTGGTCGGCAGTGCAGTGCCAAATATGGATACATGAACATAGCGGGCGCTGTTTTCGCTGCGGCGGCGAACATCTCGACGAAAACTGCGTAGTTCGATGAAAATCGCATAACGTGCAAGTGCTGCAAGCGTAAAGACCACCACACAGCATTTTGCTACCGCAACCAGCACGCAATTAGCGACATCGTCCTAGAGCGCTATGCCGCACGCATGCGTAGAGCCCGCAGAATAGCGCGTGTCGTACGAGAAGACGCAGCGGAGCAAGAACGTCTCGCGTATGCCAGACAACACAGTCAGCAGGATTCGGAAGAAGACCAGTAACCGTAGAGAGGTGAGTTTAAGAGTTGTGAGAGGGAGAGCAGTTGCCCTTGGCCACTTCTCTTTCTATTATGTCAGTCCTTTTTTCACCGTAGGCAATAATTTATGCTCGTACTCATCGTAGTACGCAAGTTCATTTCATTCCTCCGTAGTAACTAAGCAATTTATTTTCTGTACAGCGTAGTCTCGTAGGAAACGAGTAACTCATTTTTGTAAAGCGTAGTTTCGTACGGACCGTAGGTCCGAAATATTACTTGTTCATTTCTTTTATTTCCAGCGTACCGCGTAGTACGAGGTTGTTTCAGCTCGCGTAGGCGAGGAATACATCGTCGTAGTTCACCGTACGTGTGAACATCATGCTGCATGATGCAGCCCCCCTGGGAGCGGTGGGAGACCGCTATTCATTTTTGCCTGACCCCGGGATTTCTTTCATTTCCTCCCTAATTGGCCCATGGGTTTATTTCGCCTTAGCGAGGTAAAATCTCCCCCTCGCACAAAATTGTCCCCCGTAGTGTGAGGCAAAACTCACACGTAGGTATAAAAAAGTCCCGTAATTTTCTAATGTCGTCGAGCCGTTCCACCGCCAAGCCGTACGTCGTTGGTCAATTACGTCGTCTTCGCCTCGTGTTATGCCGAATGAAGCCGCAGTCATCAAGTCAAGCAACGTAGCTGTCGCCTCATCGAGCCTTTTCGCCTCACATCGTCGTCCACCATAGATTCATTGTGTGTGCATTGTATTTTTATTGAAGTTTTACATATTGTAATCGTAGGGAAAACCGACCATGGCCCGCCGTCGATTAGGCCCCGTAGGGATTCTACGATTAACTAACATGTGTGTATATATAGGTGCGTAGTCGCACTAGGTAAGGAATATTCACTTAATCGCAAGCGTCGGTATCCTTATATAGTATATAATGCGCATCGACTTTAGCGAGCTCAACCATTTTCGGTTCAGAGCTGCGCGCAATCGGAATTAACGTGACTAATCGCACGACTTTTTCAAAGGGTTCTGCGAGACTGATAGCTGCCGTGGCGGCGGGTAGCCTCCTGGTGCGCTCGGCCCGGTCGAAGGTTCTGGAAGCGGGCAGAGAAGCAGAGCTCGCGTGCCGCCGCAGTCAGTCAGTCTTCACGTCGATCTCGCCGAGTCTGGTCGTTGCGTTTCTCGCTCTTACGTCGTAGGTCCTGCTGTTCGTCGTGCGTCGTCGCCTTGGTATCCATGCGTTGAGCAGATGGAGCAATGGAGCAGGACGGGCATGGATGCCCGAGATGGACCGCAGGACCGCTACCACGTCTCCCCCCGTAAGGACTGAAGCACTGGGTTCGACCCATGAGTTCGTAGGTCGTGGTTTTCCAATTCATAGAAGTGTTACATATTCATTTCATAGTTATTGCTCATAGTAGAGAATATATGAATCTATGGTTTTTTATTTGTGTGTTATTTACTAAGTCCTCAAACGGTGATTCCACCGTTGTGTATCTGTTTACACGCGTTCGAGCTCGGTGTAAAGTAAGAGCCGTTCGTAGGCTAGGCTTAAAGGATGCCGTCGTAGGCCGCAATGGCCGCTATTCAAAAGGTTGTTGGCATGGCGTAGGTCAGTAGGTGTAGGTAAGCAGCGTTAAACATAGCTGCTAGCCCTGGATACTTACCCCCGCGTGGACAGTGGCGAGAGCGAGCGCAGCGTAAGTCCCCGATCGTACCCTCACGCCGACATGAACGCCGCTCCTAAGCAGGGTGAACCCCGATGCTTCTGAGCTTATGCGAGGAGCAAGGCGTCCATGCCGGCGCGACAATCTTCTAAGAGACATTGCGCTGTGGTCCTTGCGTGCGCGGACAAAGCAGTTGGCTATATGAAGCAACCCAAATTTAATTCCATAACTATTTACCTACAATGTCTACATATTACAAAATTAAATGTTGTTGTTATATGGTATTTACAATAGTACGAAAGATCAGCTGATGGGGAAATATGAACTGATCAGCAGATGCGCAATCGTCGTATAGACGGTGCAAGAGCGAGTGTTCTCTCACGGAGGACTACGCCGTTCTCTGAACTGTAGCAATTATCAAGCTATGATCGACTAGCGGCAAAAACGTTAACCCACACGCCTGTCACCTCGTCCTCTGCCGATGTCACAATCACTCGCTTGAATCGCATCTGGTTCGAAGGCTCTTCGTAACTGAAAGTGTTTATGCTACCACATCGATATCATAATGTGCTCTACAGAGAGCTTGTGCTATTGAGAAGTAAACTACAGCATAGACTGGTGCTACCATGACAAACACATGCGTAATTGAGCCCAAGAGCAATTTTTCATGCTGGCTGAAACTGTTACACTTTTCTAGTTAAAAAATAAGATGCGTTTATCATGAACGGAAACACAAAGATTAAAGTCGTCGGCTATCTCAAATGCTCGTAAACATCATTAGTTTGAATGTGTAATAAACAATGTGAGACTCTAAATATTTATTGCAAAAGACTCTAAAACTTTTTACAAAAGAATTTGCAAAAGTGTGAGTGCAGAATTTTATTTGCAAAAGCTTAGGTCTTTTTGGCGAGCTTTCGGCGCTTAGCGCCTTTGTCAAGCATAAATGAAATAAATGAAGTAGAAGCTTCCTGAAGTCTGTTAGTATATTAAAGTATGCTAAGCGACTCACCTGCTGCTCACTGACAAAGTGAAACACTTATCCACCCTATTTGTTTGCTGTAGCAGAACAATTCCCCACCTAGTCTACCTTAATATAGCGTGCACTCTGCCTTAAAGGCAAACCCCGGGATTAGCCCGACTAGTAGGAGGGATTCCACGGGGAAATTGTAAGGTCCGTACGTAACTGGATCACTCCAGCTTCGTCGCAAAAACTGCGCGGTTAGGGCGCTAATCCTTACGGGCCCGCAACCATCGACTCCCGTTCCAACGCTTCCCACCCACCGCGAGAGGTGGTGAGATCAGCGTGCATTGATGTAGAGATCAGCGTGCTCTCTCAAACGACGTGCTCTCGCGTATTTTGTCTTCTTTGACCGCCCTTTCTCGCCATCGTACCACATCCGACCCTATTGAAGGTTAAGGCCTTAATTTCAGCGTTCCCAAAGATTTCTCTTGCTTTCCTTTCCACTTTCAGGTCGTTCCGCAGCTAAGCTATCACCACAAAGCGCTGATAGCACCTGTTCAATCCCGGAGTTTGCCTTGAGGTCCGGCGCAACCTGATTTCAACCAAGGATAAAGTCTGCAGTCAACCGTTCAAGTGAAGTAGATTTAGTGGTGAAACGTATTTGAGAGGAGATGGATATTCCAATACGAACTCTACACCTGATGAGATTCCAATGATAGTGCCGTATGCTCACAATACGACTATTCCGCCCACCTCCAAATTTGAAACGGCTGCTTACATACTCTAGGCAAGAGGACAAATGTGGGGGGAATGTCTGATAGAATGTCAAGGATGTGGGCATAAGTATGTTGGAGAAACAAGAAGACCTCTCCACAAACGACTTGATGAACATCGGAGGGCTCTACAAAATCCGGCCTCATATCCAGGTAACAGCTTCTCCAAACATAGAACCCAACAACATGCCCACGGGGATCCACCCACCCTCAACGTAAAAGTCCTACACCGTTCCGTTGAAAACACAGTGGAACGCAAAATACTGGAGGCTCTGGAAATAAAAAGACTAGCCCCGGAAATAAATAGCAGAGACGAGTTACGTGACTCTCTTCAACTCATCGCATGACTGCAGTTATCATCACTGTGGAATGAATGCGAAAGCTCGCCAAAAGTCCTAAGCTTTTGCAGAAGCTTTTGCACTCACACTTTTGCAATTCCTTTTGTAAAAAGTTTTAGAGCCTTTTGCAATAAATATTTATAATACAAGTACTAGTACAAACACAATAAATATTTGGAGTCTCACTGTTTATTACACATTCACCAGGAAAGCCTTTCAGGACATGGAGCCCTTTTTGAAAACGGTTTTTTGCATGATAAAGGGGCACATGCATGGAGTACAAAACTAGGCTCCATTTTTTCTGAGCGGCCCTGTGAATGCCAAAAAAGGTATGAAAAATCGGTCGAGGGATCGGTCCCGGCTGATGACAAAATTTTGCATTTCATGTTAGCGCATGTTAAATGACTCCAAATGTTACCGCCGATAAAAATAGGTACTGTTCTTACAATCAGGGTCATCATCAACCTTTCTGATTAGCTTTCTGCCCAGAATTGGGGCGAAAATTGTATGGCGCTAAAGCGGCGCCGAGTTGGTGCCCGAGGAGGCTAAAATGGCGCAATATCGCGCCTC